TTTGGGGGGGGGGGGGGGGAGAAAGCTCGCCCTCCTCACGCCTACCTCTCCTCCTGCAAATGGCCCAGCTGGATGAGGCAGGACTGGAAGGCAGAAGCAGCAGCAGCAGCGGCGGGGGCAGAAGCCTTCCCCCGCCACCGCTGCCGCTTCTGCCCTCGTTGCCGCTGCCCCCGCCGCCGCTTCTGCCCCGCCGCCGCTTCTGCCCCCGCTGCCGCTTCTTCCTCTGCCACCGCTGCTGCTTCTGCCCCCGCCGCTGCTGCCCCTGCCGCCGCTTCTGCCCCCGCCGCTGCTTCTTCCCCCGCCACGGTTGCTGCTTCTGCCCCCGCCGCTTCTTCCACCGCCGCCGCTTCTGCCCCCGCTGCGGGGGCAGCGGCGGCGGGGGCAAAAGCAGCAGTGGTGGCGAGGGAAGACGCGGCGGGGGGGCAGAAGCGGCGGCAGCGGGGGAAGCGGCGGCGGGGGCAGAAGCAGCAGCCGTGGCGGGGGAAGAAGCGGCGGCGGGGGGGGCGGCAGCGGCGGGGGCAGAAGCGGCGGCGGTGCCGCTGGCGGCAACAGCAGGAGGTGGCGCTCTGATGGTGCCCGTCTTTTCTCTTGCTGCTTGGCCTGGCGCTTGCCTCGCCCGCCTCGCGCCTGCCTCTTCTCCTCCTCCTTGCTGGCTCTGGCACGAAGGTTGGAGTGGGCACTGGGCCGCATTACAAGGCGACCTGGGCCGCATGCGGCCCATGGGCCGCGGGTTGGACAAGCCTGTCCTAGACAGACAAGGTATAACTTTTTAAGTTCTACAATATGACATTTCCTAATAGAGTGGATCTGGAGCATCTGTTTCTGCTGGCTGCTGTGAGGTGAACAGAAACATAGATGGTCCCAAAAGAACTCTATACCATGGAAAGCTTTGTAGGTGGCAATCAGAATCTTGAGTTGCATCCTGAAGCCCATTGAAAGCCACTGCAACTCACAGAGCAGAGATGTCATATGGATATTTAATAGCGCATCCTACACTGCCTGTCCCACTGCATTCTGGACCAGTTGCAGCTTCTGAATGCTCTCTAAATGCAGTCCTATGTAGAATGCGTTATAGAAATCCAGCTGGGACTGGAGGGGAGGTCTAATGCTTGACTTACTACAAGTAAAGCCTCCCAGGCAGACTACCACAATAGCGGCCTATCTCAATAAAATATAATTTTAGTCTTCCTGTGGAGTTCGTTTTCTGGTCTGGTCTTTGTAATGGGGCTAACAGAAAATGGCTCAAAAACTATAGCCATTTGCTTTTACTAGGTTTTGCTAAGGCCTGTTCTTCCCCATTCAGATTCCCAAAGCTCAAGACATTGAGACAGAACTTTGTTAACATGACTTTGTTGGCATGGGACAGAGATGTGTATTTGTTATCATCAGCATACTGATGATATTGTACTTTGCCCCATGCCAGAGGGTGACCTCTTCCGGTGGTGTCCAGTAGTTGTTAAGTAACAGAAAGGAGAAAGCAAAGCAGGGGCCTCTGGCTTGATCACCCACTTGCCAACATTGTTGGAAGTGGCCTGGGGAAAAGGAGGAAAAACACAATTTGCTGCTTTGCCATTAAATAGTTTGAGTTTGCTAAACTACATAACGTACTTACCGGACTATAAAGCGCATCAGAATATACGTCGCACCCAGTAAATTTTAAAAGAAAAAAATATTTTTACATATATTAGCCGCACCAGACTATTAACCGCAGATATATATGCATCAAGTGCACCAAAAACTACTGGTAGCGTCGTCTTCTATGCATTGACCTCTTGCGTCTGACACGTTTTTTGCGCCCCCTGATGGCAGTTAGCAAAGAAAAATCTATAGATAAGCCGCATTGTTGTATAAGCTGCGGGGTTCAAAGCGTGGGAAAAAAGTACCAGCTCATAGTCCGGTAAATATGGTAAATAAGGAGAACTAGTAGAATTCTGTTTATAGTTAAATGTATTTAATCTTTCCTAATGAATTTGGGAAATAGTACCAAACATGGCTTAAGAAGGACCCACTTAGGTTATTGGAGGAATGGGATGGGTGCTCGAATGTCAGAAGACTGAAAAGTTGATGGGAAAAGAGGAAAACTGCATGAAAAAGGATGAAACAAGAAAGATGACCTTGGGGGACAAGGGGAAGAGATGCTGCCTGGGAAACAATTGGATAAGAGAGGGAGAATCCTCCCAATGGCTTATGGTCAGGAAGAGATACTTAGGATCTGATCTAATTGATCAAGCAATTAAAAGTGGTGGCAGGAAGTTTGTACCTTTGGATTTACAAGATTAATGTAGCCTTATAATGAAATAGAATTAGCTCATCTAATTGTGTTGCCTGTCTGGTTTATCTGGGAGGGATTACAGTGAGTGATTGAAGAATTCTTCTGTAGCCCTGAAGGGCAGGAGAGAAGACATTGGCATCTGAAAACCTCAGAGGGATTTGACAGCTGATATAGACCAAACTGAAAGAAGAAGAGGCAAAGTCCAGACAGATGGATCATTAGCAATCCCAGCTTCAGAGTGGTTAAGCCCAGATTCGACAGCTGACAACAGGAATTAGACGAACAATAAAACAGCCAAGCAAGAGGTAGTTGGTAGTTTCTGAGATTGGGACCAGAATAAATAGTTACAATAGAACTAAAGCTCAATAGAGAGATTAAAAATCAAGATTTGGATTAAGAGTAGGAATATTAGACAGCTATAAAGGGATAACAACAAAGAGTGGAAGCTAGTTACACATAGTCCTCAATTTATGTCTGTCATTGAGTTCAGAATTAGTCGTAATTCTTGCCAGTTGTTAAGTGAGTCATATGACTGCCTGATCTTACAAACTTTTTGCAGCAGTAGTTAAGCAAACATTATGATCATTAAGCAAATTTTCACAAAAAATAAAGGAAACACAGGTAATTAAAAGAGTGGAGTATAACCCATTATCTGAAATGTCTCTATACTAATAAGTTGAGTTGGATGCTATGAGACACAAAAGCAATTATGATAGAATAGGGATTACAGAAATACAATGAGATGAAATCAATCAGTAAGAGGAATATGAATGCAAGCGAGGTAATCATGTAATAAGAATGTACATGTATAAAGGTACTCTAGATTGATACTAGCAAATTTAGAAAGTAGACTCTGCCTTGGATTTTGTCCTTTATAAAAAGGGAATTGGTGAGAATTCTTTTAAGTTCAAGTGATTGCATTGTAAGATTTTTTTTAATAACAAAAGCAAAACACAAAGGTGATATTGATGGGGGTGTATGTATGCATTGACAAAGAGAAGAGAAATAAAACACATTAAAAGTGCCTTAACAAATAAGTGAAAAACTACAAAGCAAAGTCTATGTCTATAGGCAGTTTACTTATAAATGGCAAATGCAATCAGGTCTTCAATCCAGGAGCCATATATTTATTTTTTCTTTATTTTTTTTCCCTATGCATTTATCTTTACTATGTTGCAAGTCTTTTGGCAATGGTATGGGCACAGAGAATACACTTATGTTGTCCATTTTTCAAATTCCATGTACTAAGTGTATAGTCAATAGTTTAGTATCCTCTGAAAATTTTAGCTTTTGTTGCATTTACATTATCCACTAGAGATAGTCCTCAATTTATAACAGTTCATTTAGTGACCATTCAAATTTACAACAGCACTGAAAAAGTGACATGATCATTTTTCACATTTATAGCCATTGAAGCATTCCCATGGTCATGTGATCAAAATTCGGATGCTTGGCAATTGGTTCATATTTATAATGTTTGCAGTGTCCTGTGTCATGTTATCCCCTTTTACAACCTTCTGACAAACAAAAATCAATGGGGAAGCCAGAATCACTTAACAGCCAAGTTACTAAACTACTGTAATGATTCATTTAACAACCGGGTTACTAACATAACAACTGCAACAATTCACTTAACAACTGTGGCAAGAAAAGTAGTAAAATGAGGCAAAACTCACTTAACAAATGTCTCACATAGCAACATAAATTTTGGGTGATTGTGATCATAAGTCAAGGACTACCTGTACTTTTCCCCAAAACTTGGTTTGGTTTGTTCAAATATAACAGTAGAAGGAGGAAAACAAATGAGGCATTGGGGTCATTGCTTACTCCAAATGAAAAACCTTCATAGATCTCAAAAAGAATATAAAGGAACTCATGCTAGTTTGCTTATGTCTGTTCAAGACTAACCTTGTCTCCTTTAACAAGGTAGCTAATGGTAAAGGGTTTGGATATGATTGCCTCAATTTCAGCTTTTTTAAGCAAGCTTTTTACAAGTGTGCATGTGACATTCTCATTGACAAGTTGATTTGGATGGCCATAAGTGGCTGACAAAATTACACTCAGCATAAATGGCACTTCATTGAGCTAGAGAGCAGTAACTATTGGGGTCAAGTGGGGATCTATCAAAAGGCAAGTATTGTTCAACATGTTATTAATATTGGGGTTGAGTTGCTTGTCCAATTTGCCCAAAATTCAAAGGTCTGGCCAACATCCTGGAAGATTGAATGAGACTATAACTTAATCTGGAAAGATTAGACATCTCAGCAGAGAAAATATAAAGTATTGCATTTGGAAAAGAGAGATGTATGGCATATATACAAGATGCAAGATTTATAGCTTGAAAGCATTATGTCAGAAAAGGACTTGGGCATAATCACAGATAGCCAGCTGAATGTGAGGTAGCTACTATCAGTAGGACTAATGCAAGTCTGGACTGTGTTGTAAAAATGCAGTACTGTCAAATACAGATGGAATTCTTATTCTCTCCCCCACTGATGAAACCACTTCTGCAGACCTGTGTATGATTCTAGGCTCAACATTTCCGTAAACATATTGACCTTCCCTTAAGAGGCTGACAAAGATTTGTTGACAAAGGTTCTGTGATAAAAGGCTGGAAGAACCTGAGATGTTCAGCTTGAAACAAACACTGAGGGTAGACATGCCATTGTTCAGGTCCTTAAAAGGGTATCATGAAAAAGATATTTAGAAACTATGGTATTTCTGTTACGGCATAAAACAAAAATCAGAAATAATAAGTGCAAGTTTCAACTACCAAATTCTATTTAAAGAAAACCTTTTTGACAATAAGATCTGCACAGGAGAAGAATAGTCTGTCTAAGGCAGTGTTGGCGGGGGAGTGCCAGAAACTAGAAGTTCAGCTCCTCGACGCATGCATGCACACTGGGGAACTCTTTTTCTGGTTTCCAGCACACCCATGCGCACAAAGATCAGCTGGCCAGCGTGCTGGAACCCAGAAAAGCAACGGGCAATAGCTGGCGTGCCCAGAGAGATGGCTTTGTGTGCCACTTCTGGCACATGCCATGGGTTCACCATCACGTGAGCCTAAGGAGATTATGGGTTCTCTCTCTGGAGATTATTTTTAGAGTCCAAGCATTCATTCATTCTTCACAGTTTTGACTTGCCCACCTCTATCAGAGAAGGACTCTGACTGGTGTACAATAAAATGTTAAAATATAAAAATAGTATTTAGAAATTTAGTTACAACTCATGAAGATGGGTTAATTTGTTTTCCTGTAGCCTATAGAGTTCATCATCCTTGTGGTCCCTTCCAACAATTTTACAGCAGGTAGACTCTTGTTAATACTAAAAATATTTTTAAAAAACCAGCTTCCAGAAGTAATTGTTATGAATGTGTGACCTGGTTGAGGTGTATACTGGCCTTGAAACTGTAACCCCATAATTTGGTTGGAGAACATTTAGCATCTATTTCAAGTTCACATTTATTTATTAAACCTATATAGATGTTAATCTCCATACAAGACTCTAGGCAATTCATAAATAAAAAGATAGCAAAGCAATTCAAAAAAAGAGTGACTCTGGGTCAGTCATACACACTCATCCCAACCTATATCACAGGACTGTTGTAGGAAAAATAGGAGTGTTAGATTTTCTAATAAAGGCAGGATAAAAAATTACAGATAGTTAAAAACAATAGGAACTATAAAACCATTTAAAGTGAAAGCAAAATTTATAACTGAGACAATCATTTTATACCTAATAATATAATATAGCCACTGCACCAATATTACCATACCTGTCTATCATCATGCTTCTCAAATACAAAAGTATGGCACGTAATAAAGTACATTATTGGTTTATTAAATGCATTATTGTTTAATAAATACATTTATATCAAAAGAGATAAATGCAGCAACTCTAAATTCCTTTCTATAAATATAATTTATGAATATACATCTGGGCATTAGTTTGTTAATAAATGATCATATTTTTGAAATGTTTCTTTTGTAACAGCTGCTACCTGCCAAAAAATTTTGGGAACCAGATGATCCAGCAAAGGATGGACAAAAAGGGATATTTCTTGGTGATGAGTGGAGAGAAACTGCTTGGGCAACACCTCGTAAGTGGTACTTGTTTAAGTCATTATGTAAACTGTACAATTTACGGTGGGAAAAGACTGTTCCTAAGTTCAGTGATAGAAAAATCTGCATTGATTTAAGCTGTATTAATTTGCATATTGATTTTAATATTTCTCTTTAAAATTTAAAATAGACCACTCCATGTCCCATCCTATTATGGTTCAAAGAAAGCCTGGACATGTTTTTCATGGAACAAGTGAAGTAAACGCTGTCTTATCTCCTCGATCAGAGAGTGGTGGCCTTGGTGTGAGCATGGTCGAATATGTGCTAAGTTCTTCTCCAGCTGATAAATTGGACTCCCGGTTTAGGAAAGGAGCTTTTGTAAGTAGCTTGTTTGTATCAAAAGTTATTGTAGGCTATTCTACAATATTACTACCTGTTAGATTTCACTCATGCTGCCATGTAATACAGCAACAAATATATTAATTATTTTTGTTGTGGTCTCCAGAAAGCAGTGCTTTCTGCTAAACAAGATCTTATACGTATACTCAACTGTTCCATGTTCCTGTTGGGAAAATGGCTTCAAAATCATAATTGTAACATGAAGTGTTGTACATAGATCATCCATATGCCCTGCAAATATTTTTCAAAGGCTTTCTGTTCATAAGAAATCCTTTTAAATAGCTGTATTTATTCCAAAGGTGCTTTCATTATGAGAAAGAGCAAGATGTCTTACAAAAGCATAAAATGACATTTTGGTTATATGTTGTTCAGTCATTCAATGGCTTCCAACTCTTCATGATTTGATGAAGATAATTTTACTAGGATTATCTATCTGTAATTGCCTCTTTGAGCTTATGCCATTTTAATTTAATATGTCTTATAGTATTTCACTCTAGACAGTATTACAGGGAAGAAAGGAGTACCAAAAACTGCCTCTTATGTGCAGGGTTAAATTCCTTTGGATTATCAAAACCTCTCACAACCAGAAAAGCCACCCTTAGAAAATTTAACGTCCGCTAATGTTGATTTTTTCAGTTTTATCCTGAAAGCTAGCTTTATTTTATATATGTGCAACACATTTTATTTAAGAATGACATCTGACAATCAAGGTAGCTTACAACATTAGTTAGATTTGGTAATTGTGGGTGCTACATTTATTTTCTGCTAGATTCAGACCAAACATGTTTTTTTACTTAGGGCACTAGAGAAGCTGAAACAGATGGACCTGAGAAAGCAGACCAGAAAGGCAAGGTTTCTCCATTTGAGGAGGACAAGAACAGAGATCTTAAACAAGTTGATGATGACGATGTTACCAAAATAAATGGCAGAGGCTTGCCAAATGGAATGGATGCTGATAGCAAAGATTTTAAGTAAGGCTTAGATATTTGGGGGGTGGGGAGGAAGAGATATCTGTTTTCAATAAATAAAATTTATGGATGTACGGGTTCAGGTTAAAAGTTTCATTTAGGTTTTGTGATATTTTGCATAATGCTTGCGATCTTTATACATGTTAAGTTTTATTATGTTTTAATTATGGGATCTATGCAGGCAGTAATACAGATGGGTGTCCTGTTGTTATCACTAAATTTAATTAATTGAAATTGGAGTTCAGCAGCAACTTCTGGGAGGCCGTAAGTTGTTTGTTCTGCTAAAAAAAGAGTACACCCCCTCCCAGATATTTCCACTAATTTAAATTGTAGGTCAGTCATCATCTTCAAGAAGAGAGCCTATTCTCAGTCTTTGACACCACATTAAAGGATATGATAATTTGTACTTTTTCTTTTCAATTTTTTTTTCCATGCTATGTTCATGGATGATCCATGGTTTTCTGCATTGATCAAGACTCATTGTTCAGATCTACCTATATGAATGTATCCAAATACATATGCTCGTGTTTCCTTTATATCATACAGAGTCTTCACTTAGCAACAGCAATTGGGACTAGAATTTCTATTGCTAAGCAATGTGGTCATAAAGTGCAATATCAGGTGACCTCATTGCTTAGTAATACCAAGCTTACTACAGGTCATTAATTGGGGACCTCCTTGCAACTACCTTCTATCTTCAGGTGACTGTGGGATGCTGCAGCTGTTGTAAGTGTGAGGCAGTTCCAAGTGCCCATATTGCCATCATGTGGCACAAGGGTCAGATGATCAGAACTTTGAATCAGTCATGTGTATCCCTTTGATCAATGTTAGGGACGGTTGATGAATGAATGATGCTGTTTAACCAAGGACTACCCGTACAACAAATGTCCCGGTTAGTTTAGTTGTATATCATCTTGGAAAACAGTCTGCCGAACACTTTATTAAATTCTGACAAAGATATTAGCAGCTTGGTATGAAAGAAGGCCAACTAATGACTATCAGAAATCACAAAGAATGCGTATATTATATTTCATTGGTGCATGGTTATGTAAACAGGGTTAACAAATGTTTTCCTGGGAAGTTCAGAGAGAGAAAAATGACACCCCCCCACAAATGTATATTTTGAATGATTGTGTACAGAACTGTAAGGGCTAAAAAGGTCATCTCCTGAATTAACTGCTGATCAGAAGGGGTATGTCTGGAGAATTGCTTATTGTCCATTGTATATGATTAGGTGACTGATAAAGGAGAATATTTGTAGCTCAAAGTTGAAATTAGGTTAACGATTGGGTGACTGCTTCCTGCTGAATAACCAGAGAGTACAAAGAACATAAGGTAACTTGGTTCCAACAAGATAAATGGGAACTGCTACAGAATTTCACTGGGGAATTTAAGTGAAAGTCCAAGTTTGTACTTGGCTAATCCAGAAGCCTGAAGGGGAAAAAAAAAAAGAAATAATAGATTTTCTACTGGTGGTAGTCTAAGAAGTGGAATGTTTCATCATCGATACTGAAAATCACAAAACAAACCCTGAATTGTGTTCTCATATTTCATGCTTTCACAACATGGATGAAGAATAGGAAGGAAAAAGAAAAATATTGCAAATCAATGAATGACTATGCAAGTTAGGTTAATAAGAAAGATTTAATTTCTGAGACGGGCTTGTGGTCCAAAGTATTTACATTCAAAACTACTGACATAAGATACATTGTATGTCATAAGGAATGGAAAATGTGTCTGGGCTGCACATGATAAGGTTGATTAGAAGAGCTTTACATTGAATCAGTGTATGTACACTCCTCGTTAAAGTCTTGTGTACTGTACAGAAGGGTTCTGGAAATGAACTTTTAAGTTTTTAAAAAATAGGCTTGCTTTCATTGCCTTCATTGTCTGTACTTTAATGTTCAGAATGAATAAAATGAGTTTGCTCTTTGGACAGAAGCGTAAATATGATTTAAAGATATCAAAATGACGTGGTGGTCTGATTCCTTTGACTGCATTGTGGCATTTGAAGAGGAAACCATTCTTAAGAAGAAAAGCAGTTGCACCGTCTGTTAAAAAAAATTGATTCCTACCCATAAAGCCAAATCAACAAACCTGGAATTGTTTAGCCTATTATCAAAAAAAAAAACCAAACTCAGAATGAGCAGAGGTTAGTGGAGATGCTAAGAAGAACAAAAACAATCTTGTTAGATAAGTTCAAAATGAAAAGAATCAATACACCAGCTGATCAATAAAGAAGGAAAAGTATTTACAGGCAACAAGAAAAAGCAGAAACCACCGAAGCTACATAATTTGTTTCATTTTTCCAGCCACAAAGAAGATTGTGAAGCCAGAATAATAGGGGTTGAAGCTTGTGATTGATGGAAACATAATCAGGGAAAAACTCTTTAGTTTGACTGGGTTTTAATCTTTTGGGGTAAATGAATTGCATCATAGGGTGCTGAAGGAACTAGTTGATTGACCTGTTATCCTGGTGAACAGATGAAGTTCCAGATGAATTGAAGAAAATAAAAAAGGTGTGTGTGTGGGGGGAGATCCCTTGTGCCCAGTGACTGACATCAGTATCTGGGCAGGAGATAAAGAGGTTGGTCTGTAGGCTCTTTCAAAGCACTGTGATAATTGCTAATGTTAGCGTGGGTTTATCTTGAATAAATACATTTTCCTCAATTTTTTTTTCATAGGATAACTTCCATAATAGATCGTGGGAGTGCTATATATCTTCAACAAAATACTCAGTGATTAAAGCTGACCAGAAGACATAAATTACATTAAAATTTTGATAGTTTGGAGAAATGGGTTGAAAAGGGTAGAATGAGTTTAACAGAATCAAAGATAAAGTTTAAACAAAAATCACATGTACAATTGTAGATGGCTTAGTATTAATAGTAAATAGTGTGGTTTGGCAATAGTTATGGAAACAATTGGAATTTAGGCAATGCTCTTTTTATGAACAGGTTGCATTCTGAGAGGCTGTTCATAAATCTGTTTTGTTCACAAGTCCAAACAAATATATATGTAACATGCTGTAAATTAACCTCCTCCCAATTTTGGGGACTTTTCCTGTTGGAGTTGTGGACAGGTTTTTTGTATTGGTGAAAGTTCATAACTCAAAAGTTTGTAAGTGGAATAATGTTTTGTAGTTGATTCCAAATTAAATATGAGCTAGCCATTGGATGGGACTCTCCAAAAGGCAAATATAGTTGTAGGCTGCAGCAACAGACATATCATTTCCTAATTAAAAAAAGAAATTATTCCACTCTGTTCTGCTTTGGTCAGATCCTGTCTTGAGTGTTACAACCAGTTCTGGGAATTACAAGGAGTCAGAAAAATTCAAACAAGTTCTAGTAAGAAGAATGAAGCTAATCAAGGGACTAGAAGCTAGATTGTATGAGGAGAGATTGAAAAAAAAATCTGTATTTAGGTTTGAGAAAAGAAGATTAAGGATGATGTGACAGAAACTCTTCAAATAGTCCTTTTTGAAGAAACTCTTCAAAAGTCCTTGGTTAATGACCATCATTCAGAGATTCTTATTAACAATGCTGAACAAGTGGTACTTATGACTGTTTCTCAAAGTTCTAGCTGTCCGACCCATGGTTTGGCAAATGGCTTGTACTGAGGAGGTTGCAGAGTCCCATATCACATGATTGCCATTTGCAACCTTTCCTGCTGGCTTTCCAACAAAGTCACTGGGAAAGCTGACAAGGAAGGTTGTAAGCCATTCCTGTAAGTCATTCTCATTCACACCACTTTCCTGCGTCCTTCCGTATTGCTATGCTTGTACCAGCAACCACTTGGCCTAGCACTGGCTTCTTGTCAGCTTCCCCATTATCGTTGCTTAAAAGCTGTCAGGAAGAGGTCCTCAGTTAACAACCGGTAATCCTCAGTTATGGTACGAACAGATTGTCAGGATTGCCATGACTAAATGATGTGGTTACATAATGTGCTTTATAATTCCCTAGTTTCTTCATTTTATCTTCAAAATAGGGTCTTGCCTGAAATGTTTTAATAGAAATAGTATTCAATTATGTAAGTTTTTCAGTGTAAAATAGGCTTGCTGTGTAATTGACTTGGAATAGGATTTCCTTAATGCTGCCCTTTTAAGATTCACAATTAAGTTGGCTTTGAAGACATGAACTTAGCTTTGAAGCCTGAGCTTCCCATATCCTGCCAAGCGTGCTTTCCTATCATCATCACCACCATCACCCTCAAAATGTAGATCTACTTTTTTAAAGTCTGCGCTTTCTACTATAGCATATTTATTAAACATTTATGTTACCTTTACCAGAAAGTACTAAGCACATACTGTGCGTGCTGTTTCATGACTTGGCTTGTTCAAGAAAAACAACAATAGCAGCAAATTTTACCAGCAGGTTAATTTTACCAACTGTTTACCCTAAAAAGCAATATCTATAAATTAATGTGTAGGTTTGGGGTCATTAATCATTCAAACATGTTAATTTTCCCATTCGCTGTTAACATTCCACTGCTCCTGAAAGTAATCATTAACATAACAAGATAACAGTTATTTTGTACATCATTATTTGAATTACGTACCAATTAATGTAAAATTATAGATGGATCTAATTTTCAAACAATTTCAACATTAACTATCATATAGAACAATTGTGTGCCATTTTCTTATAAATCAAGGAACAAAAAATTATTGTGACATCTTTATATGTATAAAGTTTTTCAACATCTTTTTAGCCAGTTGTGTTTTTTTTTAATAAAAGCTCATTTTTTTTCTTTTTCTTTTTCTAAGCAGTCGTACTCCTGGAAGCCGACAAGCATCCCCAACTGAAGTAACTGAGCGTTTGGGTCCAAACCCTAACTCTGCTGAAGGCTTGTCTTCGCTTTCTAATCCTTCAACTCACAAGCCACTGGTGGAAGAATTTTCAACCTCTGAATCTCAGAATTTGGATGCTATGGAACAAGTGGGTCTTGATTCTCTGCAGTTTGATTATCCTGGAAATCAGGTACAAATGGATTCTTCAGGAACTACTGTGGGACTCTTTGATTACAATTCACAACAACAGGTTAGTATTTCTTTTATAGCCATATTAATGGTTGGAATTATAACATTATATAACTCACCAGTTTCAACTAAAAATGGGAGTTTTCTAAAGTTCTTACATCTCTTTTTACTATTGCTGTTGTCTTTTTAATTTGTAGTAAAAAAATTGTTTACATCATGTCGATTCCATATCAAGGGAAGACACTGGATTCATATAATTTCAGTCATAACGTCTTAGCTTTGAATAAACTCACCCATTGTCATTTATGAATCATAATTCATAGCTCAATATTTTGCATGGTGTTTGAGACTTCTACCACCAGGTAGTACAGTATACTAAAGAAAAAGATGAAGTATAAGTTGCATTTCTGGTAGTAGTTTATTATAATGTGGAATTCTTTCATAACATTATTGAAGAATTATTTCTATTTAAATTTGAAATTCAGTGTTGAACAGTCCTGTGCTTAACACTCCATGGACCAATAATGGGCCAGTCTTATAAATTAAATAGGACTAGAAAGTGTCTTTGTTAATGTTGTAATACATGTCTCCTTCAAAAATCGAATCCCTTTTGCTTGTTGTCATTTTTGTCTTAGATATTTCAGAGGACTAATCCTCTTACTGTTCAGCAGTTAACAGCAGCACAACAGCAACAATATGCACTGGCAGCAGCTCAGCAACCACATATAGGTGAGACATTTTAAAATTTGTAATAAAAAATTTCTGGACTTAAAGTTGGTATAGGGAACTATGATTTTATATATATATATATATATATATATATATACACATAGATTTAGTAGAAATATTTCAGGTTTTTTTTTAAGCCAGTGGTAATAAGCAGGAATATGTACAATAGATTTTTTTCCAACTGCCAAAGGGCTCTTGTTTCCTCCTCAAAAGACTATCCATAGGATTGGTAGATCTTAACAAATCATGTTTGGCTGTGTCTTTAGCTGCTGCAGTTGGAGGGAAGGAATTCTTGGGAACCTTAATGAGAAGTGCCAGATTCTTCCACTTGATCTTTAGCAGATGCAGGTCAGACACTGTGTGAATTGCTTTCTACCTGCACTACATTGTATATCACCCTTGGGACCTCAGAGCTTTGTCAATAAAGATTGTGAAACTGTGAAGTAGAGTCGTAGTAGTAGTAAAATAAAAATATTTTATTGGAATGTATGTTCTAGTATGAAATGAGCTTACAAAATGCTTTATTGCATATTACTTATTACATATTTTACATACTGAATTTTTAATATTGGCAGAAAAATTTAAATTGTTGGTTACAATTAAAGCCTTTTCAATTTTTTACCAATATTCTCTGAAATCACATCAAACTTGTGACATTTAAAAACTTGTGTGGTACAACACTGTGCGATGTCTGTTTTTGGTGAAATTGAACCTTTTGTTACTGTAACAGGTGTATTTTCGGCAGGCTTGGCTCCAGCTGCTTTTGTGCCAAATCCCTATATTATCAGTGCTGCTCCCCCAGGTGCTGACCCATATACAGCAGCAGGCTTGGCTGCCGCAGCTACCTTGGCAGGTAAGGCAATACTGCTTTAAGACAACTCCAGTATTACATATTTTAAAAACATTTGCTTTAAAAAAAGTATAAATCATCCAGGTTAGTGATATTGTTCCCCTAGATTTTCAAATATCAAATTTACTATGGACACTATCGAGTATTCAATCCTGTTTGTTTTCTGTTGAACCCATGTCTGTGGAATGAATTCTAACCAAGATTTTAATTTGACTTTTCTACACCTATTGTTCTTAGTCTACCAAGTCCCTTCATTCAACACCCGGCAGCAGAAAAACTAAACCAAATGTTAGCAATTTATTGTCTTCCTTTTGAATGATGTCACAAAATTGGGACAGGGCAGGAAAGAGGAGCATATCACTATTTTCAGTATTTTAATTATAAATTGACCATCAGATAAAATGGATCAAACCTGACATTTGAGAACAGAGATGAAGTCGTCCTTGGATTAAAATCCATAATCAAATAGATAGCATCATCTAATTTGCTATCTTAATCTGTACATAGTTAAGTTACTTTTTCTTGGGCTTAAATGATTTATGTATGGCTATCTAAGGGAGTTTGTTATTTAGGAAGCTGCTGACTGAAAGGCTGATTCAAATCACAAAACTGAATATGATTTATCCTCAGTTTTATTAATCTATATGATTTGCAGGCATAGAATAAGTTTTCTAAATACCAATTCCAGGTGAACCTATGATCACAACCACAGACCAGTCAATTAGGGTTCCTCTAGGTCTGGATGGAGACAAGTATTTAAGGCTAAAAAAGACAGATTCTACTAGCACCTACCCTCCAATTGTTCATAAGTAAACCCGTTTCTTGTTCTACAATTGTTGTCAGTTGATGCAAATTATTTGGTCACATCTAATTTTATTCTTAATAAATATTTAGTCTGCAACCTTATTTGGATTACTATAGCCAGTGTAATTGATGTAAATCTTTACAGCCTCGTTATTTGGTTTATGATAGCCTGATTTCAGCCTTAGACTCTTGCTGGCAGTTCTTACTATCTACACAGTAACCCAAACAAATTTTGCTGATAAGGAGAACCTGACAAAGTTTCTTATAAAGAAGCTTTCTCATCAGAGGAGGAAGAGCTACTGGGTTGGCCTTAGTGGTGGAATGTTATATTATCAAAAAAACCTCTAAAATATTGCCTGGAATTGGGATAAAATTTGAAAGAAAGGTACAAAGTGGCTGGCAACTAAAATGAACCTAGACAGCTCTGGTTGTTGAAGATTTATGGTATTAAAGTGGAACTAATATGGTATAATATGGACTGGTATATAGCTCAGTTGGATTTGGCAATGTTTATTAATTCATTGAGAGATCTGGAAAAGACCGCTGAAGAGTTTTGGGCACAATTCAGAAAAGAGTGCTGAATGATTAGGAAGATACATTAGGTGGTGTGGTCTGCTCTGTCCTTCTTGAGGAGGATGGAAAATCTAAGGTTTGCCACTTGGAGAAAAGCCAGCTGCCAGCCTAATTAACAGAGGGAAAATTGGTGTCAGTGTCAGTAATTTATAATTCCTTCCTTAATTCTAAATAAGGAAGTAGGTAGGTAGAAATATAATACAGTCAGACAGAGAGACAAGATTATAGAGTGCATTCATGCTGTACCCATAGAAAAATCTTATGTTACATAATATTAAATAAGAGAGAAAAGTGCAGTCATTCTACAGTTTAGAATCTCTTCACTTATGTAGAAATAAGTAGAAGGTGTGCGATCAGAACTTGGCACATCAACCATAAATCTATTAGGACTGCTAAAGAAAAGCAGCTGTTGGACTGGAAGGAAAGGTTAAACAAATGGAATATACTTCTTTTTTACTTTTGTGTCCATTGTATGCAGCAGTGGGGTCCTACCTGTTCAACTACTGGTTCGGTGATTGCGCACGTGTGCACGCACACCTAACCCGCATGCGCAACTTTCCCCACACCAGCTGGGGCCTGCAATGCCCATCAGCTGAGAGGAGAAAGAAGAGAAAAGCGCAGGGACAGGTGGGAGGGCACTTTTCTCTTCTTTCTCCTCTCAGCTGATTGTCCTTTTTTCCCTCCTCTTAGCTGATCATGGGGGGACTTTTTTTTTTTTTTAACTAGCAGTTCAGCCGAACTGGTCTGAAACGGTAGCATACCACCACTGATTGTGTGGTACTAAATAAATGTTTGGAGGGTATGGGAGAAATCCTCCTCCCTATGTTTGGATCTTTTCATATTTTTAGATGGTTAAGATGATGATTCATGTTATTTGTATATCGTTGCCCATCCTCTCTATTTTTTTTTAATGTGAAGTTGTTTTCTTTTTTTCTGTAAGTCTGGATTCATTGTATTATTTCAAGACAGTGATACTTGTACAGCATTAATTAAAATATATTGACATTGCTTAGATAAATTAAGAACAGTAGAAGTAAAAAAGATAAATATTCTATCAATATTCATTACAATTTAGGACATTGGTACTGCAAGCATGAAATTATTTGATCTTTTCTTCCACAACTGAAATAACATTAAAAAAGAGGTTCTTGCAGATCACATTGAAGTCTGTATATAATGTAAATAAGAAGAGGAAATAAATACAGATTTAGCAAGAATTAAAATAACAAATAAATAAATGAGGTTGGAAGGGGAGGAAAATGAACTATTGGGTTTCTAACATTCACTTTTTGGTATATCTGCTGATTTATTATTGTATACTATTGTATTGTAAATGTCTACAGTATTGTAGACATTTAAGCCCTATAGATGCCTGATGGTAAGTGATTATATTTACCTTGTGTTGTGATGTTTGGGAACTATTTTTTGCTTAAATTTGGTTAACATTCATTACATATATCTATACTGTTAGTTTTGCCATAGCTAAATACTCTGTGTCCAAGTTTCCAATCAGATAGAATTGTATCTTTCTTCCAGTGTTAAACACAATTCATCCTCACTGCTGTAAACATATCTTTCATTAAATTCTAATGTTTCTTGTTGATTTTTGCTGACATAATAACTAATAAAAAGCATTCATTTCTACTTAAAATTGCAAAATTTTCTGTGTTGTGGTATGTATAGCTTTCTAATACTTGAGTGGGTTTTTACATGCTCAGCATGTGGTTTTGTGACATTTCCAATATTTATTACTGTCTATCTTAGATATTATTATAGAGTTTTATACCAGTTGTAGAATACCTTTAAATTTTCCTTTAAATTTTTTACTTGATTTGAATTTTATAGATTTAGTCTGTAACTCTTCCCAATGCGGTGTTGTAACTGTCTCTTTAAATTGCTGCATCGTTTTATCATACAGCTTTTGTTTTCTTTCTCTTGGCGCAACATATCTAAGCAAAAATTTATACAGACTCCCTAACAGCTGGTGCTGTTTTTGTATGAGTATTTCAAAATTTTGCCTATTTTAAATGTCCGTCCGTCCTTGAAATTTGATTTTACTTTCCAGCAATTTGTAAGTACATCAACCAAGATACCTTCCAGCCTTCACCAAGTAGTTCTTGCTGTCTTTTTAGAATCTGAGTAAACCATATTTGCATATGTAATTACATTTTTCTTGCTACAATTGTCTCCAACATGAAAAACATTTCAGAGAACCACTAGAGATGAGCTTATTATTCTTTTCATTGAATTTCATGTTGTTGTCCCATTTTGTCTAATAATATATCATTTAAATTTTTATCATCCTTTGTAGTTGGCAACGATTAGCAAAATAAAATTTGCAGGGACTCCTTAACTTTGTTTTTAGCATCTCCACACCATAATTATGTACAAAATTATTGGCTAAACTGGTTCCTTCCAAAATTGCTGTTCTACAATCAAAGGATTTTATCTACTCTGTTGTCCACTACAGGCAGTTTGCTTTATGATGCTGTTTAGACTTTGGAAAAGCAAGATCATCTCTGTGGAATCATGTAGGATTTTTGTTGTTGTTTGATACTTGGTTTTTTTCCCAGTGTACATAAACTTACTGACAGTTTCTTACAATTCTTGTAGAGTTCTCTTTGAAATTCTGATTGATCCCATTAGGAATAGATAGTTTATCTTGGGTAGTACATTTATTTTAATCATTGTGTTCTGCTGACAATCATGAGTATAATTGAGCAACCATTTCATTTAACAACCAAGTTGCCAATCCCAGTTGTCACCAAATGAGGACCATGTGTAGTTTGAAATTAAAACAAAGTTTTTCACTAAATGGGCTTCCTGCAGAAGATTGGTTTCTCCTTTTGTTAAAAATATCTTGTAATTATTTTTGGTTTTGAATTCAGAATATACTCCAAAATGATTGTTTTCATGAACTATTTTATTTCCTATTGTGGTTCTGTAATAAAACCATGTCATCTGGATAACGTTTTTCCACAAATTTTGAAACCTATTATTTGTTTGAAACCTATTATTTGCAGGCTTTTTCTGCCACTATTTCTAAAGTAATGTTAAATAATAAAATGGACATCCTGGTTTATTTATTTATTTGGAAATCTGAAAAGAGCATTCCATTAGCTATAATCGTCACTTTTTTCTATTAGTGTATATGTTTAACCTAAGCTTGAACTTTTTCTGCAGGATTTATTTTATTCAATACTACCAGCAGGAATTGCCCTGAAAATGGTCAGAGGCTCTTTTTGCATACCCTCAAACCAGTTCATTTTCCTTCCTTTTCTTGTTTTTAGGTTCTATTATATTGATTATAACCCTAGTGTTGTTCTTTGTATTTCTCTTTGGGATAAAACCAGTTTAGTCAATATGTATGATATCTGGTACACATTTCTTCAGTCTATCAGGTAATATTGTTGTAAAAAAACTTGTAAGCTACCTTCAGTTCTCCTAGGGGGTAAGCACTATTGTAGAAAAGTTTGTAGAACTTGAATCATACCTGGAGGTAAGCAGAATCAGTGTAGTTCTCAAAGAAAGGGGGGTTACATGGTCATGTTTATTTAAAAATTTAAGTCATCTAAACATCAGAGAGTTAATTATCTCCAATCAATAAACAATATAAGTAGTTCTTGATTTACAACCACAATTGGGGCCAGAATTTCAGTTGTAAATCGCATCAGTTGTAAGTTGAGGCTCCCACATGACCAGACTTTTTTTGGTTATTGTTTTTATGGTGGTCATTAAGCAAATTACATCTTCCGTCCAAATCTATTCGTCCAAATGAGCATTTTTTGGATCACACATCGGGGTCACATGACCATGGGATGTTGAAACCAGTTGTAATGTAAACCAGTTGCCAGCTGCTTGACATACGGTTTTGACTGCAGGGAGGTAGCACAGCATTTTACAATTGCCAGAAGGGCTTTACAGGCCATATTGTACCCCTTCCAAAGCCTTTGTAACTCCAAACAGTAGGTAAATGATCAGTCATAAGTTGAAGACTACATGTGCTATAGTTACTACTAGTATTTTATAATAATACAGTAAAATAATGCTTTTTTAAAAAGGAGAGGCCGGTTAGGAAATCTTTGTGGGATCATAGTTTGAGAATCATTACTGTTATAAAACAACTTAGGATCCAAATTTCTTTCCCAGTAACTATCTGGTCTGTGCATTAAAAAAAAAATGGGAGGATTTATTCACAGTCCCACTGGTGGCTTCAGCTCACAGTGAACAAAAGTAGGGCCTTTTCTGTAATGAAACTCCAATTATGAAATTTCTTCTAAGTATATGGCTTTCCCCAGGATTATTGTATTTTAAACAACTAAAATATGCCTATTCAGTCAAGTATTTATAAGATAGCTGTTTAGGATCAGACTACCCTGGTTGCTTTTGCAAACTGCTTTAATTTGTTGCATTTTTATTGTTTTGGATTAATAGTTTCATAGTGTTACTTTTTTGTAGGCCACTTTGTCTCCTTTTGGAAAAATTACGGCATGAAACAAAAATAATTATTAATATTAAATGGAATTTTATTTTTCACTCTGTGTTTTCTACACTAATGTTTTAAAAGATTGCTTAGGAAGTGATGTTACCTAATGTGCGTCAGATGATGCATGGGCAGAAAATGAGCAAGAACTTTTTAAAATTACAGAAAAGCTTCACTTGAGCTGTTCTTTTTATATTATGTATTAGTAGATTACATATGAAACATTGATTTGAATTGGAGGGAAAAAACATAATTTTCTCATTAAAATCAAATTGTAAAAGATTCAATTTGACTGGCTTTCAAGAGGTATTGTTTTATTGACTGTATACTAACCTCCCACATATTTCTTTCAACTGTTAGAGACAAAATATAGCCGTCTTTTGGCTGACAGGGAGTTTAAGGGAATTTTGATATCACATATGTAGTGATGTTTGCTTATTTATGATAATATTAGGTATTATCAAGTTACTTTTGTTCCCAAAGCATTAGAAAGTGAAAATATAAATATTCTGATAAAAATCTTTTCTTTGTCAGGGCCAGCAGTTGTTCCTCCTCAGTATTATGGTGTTCCTTGGGGCGTGTATCCAGCCAACTTGTTTCAACAGCAAGCAGCCGCCACAGCAAACAGCACTGCCAATCAGCAGGCTGCATCACAGGCACAACAAGGACAGCAGCAGGTAAACCAGACAGATAAACATGCCAAATATTTCTTTGCTTGTGTATTTTGCTATCTAACAATCTATATATTATTTCTCCCTCCCTCCCCTCTGTGTGTGTGTGTGGGGGGGTGTATAAATATTCCTATATGGCTTGACATATTTCTTAGATGTAGCAATCCAAAAACTCTGATTCAAGTGTATTTCATTTTCAGGTTGGTCTGCAATTTTTAGTTTCTATGAACCATGATTTTGACTGAACTTGATTTTTGAACCAGAGATACTTACGTTTTTTTCCCCTGTTTACTAGTTGAATTCACGTAGGCATCATGTTGGCTTTGTGTGTATGTGTGTGTGTGCAACACCCCACAGCAGCAAAGATCAAATTCAAAAAATAGCAGAAAGCCAGAAATCAACCAACCTGAAGGATTCCAAGTTTTACCTTGGAAATAGTTTGGAAAGCTATTGATTTCTCTTACCTGGTCCCTACTCTAATTTATATCTGAAAGAATCACAAGACATCCGATCCCATTACCATGCCCTACAAAATATTTGTGGAGTGTACTATTTCTCATTTCCATAGTTCCCTGCCAACTACCATACCAAATCCACCAAGCTGATTCCACAAGTAGAAATCATCTTTTTAGGAAGGCTGTTTGTCTAGCTCAAGGGTGTCAAACTGGCAGCCTGTGGGCCAGATGTATCACACGCAGGCCACACCCACCCCAGCTCTGCAAAGGGGGAAAACGTCACGATACATCATGTGACAGCAAAGCGACACTACCAGTTTGAAACCCGTCATCTAGCTGATATAGCCACCAATTTTTATTGCATGGCAAGGAAGAGAGAGTGCAGGATTTGCAGAGGGTGAAGGAATTGGCAAAAAGTAGATTCCTGTCTTAAATAAATAGAAGTGGCTTTTGCTGTTTAAAGCTGGAATCAGAAAATGCCTCTTGACATTAAAAATGGAGTTTATATGAGAATAATTATCCAAGGTATTGATCACAAATTGCTGATGTTGTCTCAGGATTATTTCAAAGGGAATTTTAAAGGGAATCTGATTATCTGTTATCTTATACAAATGTGCTTGAACAACATAATTTACTGCTTTATTAAAAGAAATGGCCTGTTTTTAATTATTTTAATTCATGTTAATGTCTCTTGTAATTTATATTTGTGCCTGTTATTAGGTGATAAATCTTAGGCTCATACAGATGTAATATTTCCTGGCTCCTAATTATAATTAGATTCCTTTCTTCTTTTACTCCTTTTTTCCCCAGCTAACTTTGTTTAATGTTATATCAGTTTGGTAATAGAAGGGTAGTTAGAACGTGGCTTTAAAATTAATTTGTAAATGTTGCTAATGATCACTACTATTAACCTATTTACCTCATGATTAATTGGAAAAACACAGGAAATTTGCATGTGATGCTGATTTTGAAGCAAAATGACTACAACAGACTTTGACTGCACTAGGCCTTAGGACAGTATTTTATGAGCGACACTTCTTGTTTCTTCCTACTACATAGCAGAACTGAGAAATTTCTTTATTTCTCATGAGGATAATTAATAATAATAATTGGATATATAACTTTAGACAAAATGCTAAATACTTCTTAAAATACCTGTCAATTGAAAAGAATTCTCTAGTAAAAAAATAAAAAAAAATGACTTTGATGAAGACAAAATATTAAATCATGAATAAATGTATATGAAAATATATTTTTTTCAAGAATTGTTGTAGAGGTCACATGTCAGATTTTTGTGATTTATCATATTGTATGTTCAGTTTCATCAGAATAATAGGTGAAAGATGCTTATTATCTATAATTTGAAATGTTTGTAGAGTAAAAATACTAATTCAATCCTCAGGAGTTCAGTCTGATCTGTACTGACTCTGATTGGCAAACAATTGACCATGGTTAAAAGTACTGAGGTAACTTTCACTAAACAAGATGTACTAAGAAAGAGATCATTATTATCTGTTAAGAATTCTTTCTGTATGATTTTGAGCCAACAAGCATTATATCTGCAATGATCCAAGAAAGTAGATACTTCACTAAACCTAGTAATCCCAATTTTCTGATAACTGCAATTTTAAAAATGTTAAGAAACACAATATCAAGGCTGGTGATGGTTATAAGGATGGAATTCTTACCTGTTTGCCATGCTTACCTACTGCAATGTGTGGAATTCAATTCCTTGCCATTTCTTGAATTATATTTCGCAGTATTGGATTCTACAAAACCTCATGTCTTGAACTTGCACCTCTTATGCTGTATATTTTCTATCAAAATAATTTGCTCCTAATACACATTTCTTTTGATTGTACACACAAAAAAATACAATGAAAGCCATTGGTCTTTTATAGGTTCTTCGTACTGGCGGTAATCAGCGCCCTCTTACACCCAACCAGAGTCAACAGGGGCAACAGGCAGAGTCACTTGCAGCAGCTGCGGCAGCAAATCCAGCTTTGGCTTTTGGTCAGGGTCTTGCCACTGGCATGCCAGGTATATAACGATGAGTCAAGAAAACTAAAAGAAACTCAGTCTAAACATCCTGAAATCTTGATGTTATCACAATAGCCTATTTAGCTGTAATTTCTTTATTTAGCCTGAGTAAAACTCTGAAATGTGATTTTCGCCATGTTTATATCTATCAGGTTCAGCACGGAAGAATGCATCGGGAGAAAAGCCAAGATTTGGGAATGATATCTAATCTAGTAGCCTGGTTCCAGCCCTCTAGCCTAGCGTGTTGTAGCTATACTACCTTCCCCCCCCCCCCAAATTAAAATTCCCTAGTTCTAATCTCCCACTTAATAGGGTTGGAAATAGGGAATAAAAATAGAGTAAAAATGGGCCTTGTTCTATTTCTGTAGTTTGTTTTCTGCTGCAGCCTTGGGTGCTTTCCAAAATATCCATGCCAGGAACCATCTGAAATAGAAAGTGAACCATAAATGAAAGACAATTCCTATGTGCATTGTATCCAGCACCATTTTAAGATGTTTATCTTAAAATGTATTTAGTATTTGTTATTATATATAATTTAGAACTCAGTTCAGCAACATTTCAGAAATGTTATTTTTTTTAAAAAAAATATTCTACCTTAATTCATATTGATTATATAATATATTGATATTAAAGCATGCATTTAGAGCTTTCTTTTGGTTAACGTTAATTTAGATTTGTAATGTATGCATTTCTAAATTAGAAATTGAGTTTGCATGCATAGCATTTAAGCTTTGCACTGCTGATAATGCAGCTGTGTTTCTCTGCTTTTATGCAAATCACAAAGCTGCAAATGGCTATTAAGGAGTTACTTTATTGCATAATAGTAAGATTTTGGAAAACAGTTTAAACTTGCTGATAATCCACAGCTATGGCTGCTTTGCCTATGAGTGCAAAAGGGTAGCTTGGGGCACTTTTTATTTGGAATATTTCATCTTCCTAGCAAATGGATAATTGATCATATTCCAAATAGAAGGTGAAGCTTTGTGGTACTTTTTCTGCAGTGTGTCTGACCAAGTCAGGTATTCCCTTGGCCAGTTGAATAAATCCTGTTCCACCAGGATTGCAGTTTCAGTTTATAATTCAGTCAACCATTTCAGATTTCTTTCAGTTGCTGCAGAGGAGTCCGAGAGCCTGTCAGCTCCTTCTCTCTCCCCTTTCACTCCCTTGGAGCAAATAAAAAATCCAGGGTGCTTTGATCCTGGATAGGTATGGGTTATCCATGCACTCTTTTGCAGTAGGTAAAACACAACAAGAATACAAATAAAATGCTTAATAAGAACCATCTTTGTAGTACCGCTTGGTGGAGATAGTTTGAATTTCTAATTAGTCCTGCCTCTACTATTAACTGGATTATCATCTTCTCAACACACACTAATGCCTCTTCTCTGATCTAATTAAGTCTGTTGTGTGAATATTCTCTATGTCCATCCATCTATCTACTTTGCATTTCCTTTCAAGCACCGGAACCCCTTTTCTCTAGATATAGTAATCTAATTTGTTACAGAGTCCTTACGTGCAAAAGAAGAAGAAGGCTTTTTGCCCCACAAACATTTATAGTAGAGTTTTACATATTAGACAGACTTCAGCCGGTATTTACATACACTTCTGTTCCGGCACAAATTTGCTGGTGAAAAATCTGGGCATTGCAGAATATTGCTGTTTTAAAGTTATTTAGAATGTTTTCTTGACTGCATTTAACTGTTAAACTAACAAATAGAAAGTATAGGAACCCTTAGCATTCGGAGATACAAGTATTCTCATATTATGTTACAATATAAATCATGCTGCATATAGCTTCATTATGTATCAGTGTCACTCGCATTGAATTCAATTTTAGTTGGCAAAGCCAGACTGTTTATAATTTTAAGCATTAAAGAGAATCTGAGGGGACATAACAGCTTTTTTTGCTAAGTAAACGTATATAGGTCTACATTATAATGGGTATCTATCCATGTATACTTGGAACGAAATCCTATAATATTTCCACCTCAACCTCCTCTTTTAAAATTATTTTAGTAAAATAGATACCAGAGCTTGTCCAGTAAATTGCAGTTAGATATTTTTGGAGATTTAAAAAGATAAATTTGTTTTTTAAAAAAGAAAAAAATTAAAAGGAAAAAAAAGAAGCAGCATAATTGCTAAAGTATAAGGCCAAAGAAATACTATAATGATTAAGTTATGATGTTTTCCAATTTAACATTGATTAAGTTTATCCAGCGGTAATTGAAGTGGCTTAGGTAAATCATGGAAAGATTAAATTCAGTGTTATGAAAAGACTTCAGGAGAACACTGTAGATCTCAATTTTGGATATTTCAGGTGTATTTTACCTGATTCAAGAACTTTTAATAAACAGAATAGAAATAAAAAAATGATTGGTGCTACACCACTGGCATGCTCATACTTGTAGAATAATTAAGTAATGCTTTCTTCATAGAACTCAAAGTCAATATGGAGTACAGATAGTCCTCAACTTATAGCCATTCATTTAGTGATTGTTCAAAGTTTCAGTAACGCTGAAAAAAGTGACATGATTGTTTTTCACATTTACGACCGTTGCAGCATACCTATGGTCATGTGATCAGATTTTGGATGCTTGACCAATGAAATGTTTTTATGGCAGCTGCAGTATTCCAGGGTCATATTGATCAGCTTTTGTAACCTGACAGGCAAAAACAGTGGGGAAGCAAGATTTTCACTTAACAACTGTGTTACAAACTTAACAGCTGCAGTGTGTCACTTAACAATTGTGGCAAGAAAGGCTATAAATGGAGCAGTACTTAACAATTGTTTTTGCTTAGGAATGGAAATGGGCTCAGTTGTGGTCATAAGTCAAGGACTACCTGTGTATTCCAGATAGTTAAGAATTCTGTTGTGAAATTATATCACAGCCATGAATGACAGTCAAAGAGAAGTGTATTCATATATACCTTTTTAAATGAGTAGCTACTCTGCTCTGCTTCCCTCTTGACAAGTATTCTTACTTGGCATAGGTTAGTTTTCATTCTGCCAGCTGAAATTTCTACAGTAACAAGATGTAAATCAACTTTGTGTTAGTAAGATCCTAATTACTACAGCTGTTTCAGCTAGTAGAAGAACTAAATAAGAAAAACTTGACATTGTTCCTTAGAATTTTTGCTTATTTTAAGGGGAAAAAACTAGCTAATTTTCTTCTCTACCTCCAGATCAAACTTCAGGAATGGACAGATACGCATAATGTTAGGGATAGTGTCACCATACTAATTAGAACACTTTATGATGCTAATGTACTTATTTCTTACATATCTAGTACTGCTTATGACGCACATTCAGTTTTAAGTAAATTGTTATTTTACTTTTAAATATCCTCTAACAGATTATTCTACATTCTTTACAGAGGAGCAGTGAGCAGAAAGCAGTGAAAACCTGATCATTTGCTAGCACGTGAAAATATTAGCGAAGGTAGTAGAACAGAACAGCACAGTTTAGCTTTGTATATGCATCTATAATATGAAACACAGTAATTCCACTTTTCAGAAGCATATTCTGCTGACAATACTTGAGTACTGTAGCGATGACTTAACTCTGCACCATCTGTTTTGTTACCTTTTTGTCTGTTTGGTATATTTGCTTATTTCATGCTAAGGAATGATGTATGCCAGACATCAAATAACAATTCTTTCTAGGATTACATCTATAGAATATTATCACTCAGAACATGAGTGCTCTTGAAGGAAGTGATACTGGATCATGTTGCTGAAGTTTCTACTTGCTTTAGTTTCTTTGATAGATGTTAGCATTCTTATTAATAGGATAGGTATAGTATCATGAGAAGCATTTTGCTAAAATTAAGAGAGAATTGCCACTATAGCTTGGTTGTATCATTTTACCTCATGAGAATGATGGATCACCTGGGTTTGTGACTTTTCTAGAAAATATAGCCTTGCTCAGATTTCCTGCTCTTTATTTGGAATTAAAGAAGATTCATGTTAGAATTCACATAATACATTGCGAGGCTCGGAGCAGTAAAAGTATCAAGGGTTCTAGCTGAAGCATGAGTGCCAGGAAATTTGTACGTCTGTTTTAGTTCTTACTCTAGCAATGGTGATAACAGGGTGAAGTGGTCACTTTGCCAACACAATTTTGTAGATCCCTTTTGGGTGGGAACCAGCTTTTGGAGTGGACATGCAAAGCAATAGCATGAAATGCTAGAACAGCTTTGCTCTATCTGCAGAATTATGTTGAGTACTCAGACATATTCTGATTCAAATTTACTGTTGGTTTGGAGACAGAAATAACTTCGGACCTCCTGGTACCCCCACAATTATATATCTGTAATCATACAAAAATTACTAACTATAATTACTGTGCTATATTACTATGTTATAGTTACTATAACACCCCTCACAATTAGCCGTGCCAGCTGGGGGAGTTAGGAGCTGTAGTACAACAGTATTCAGAAAATCATAAGTTGTTATTACTTTGATAACTTATCAGAAAATAAGTAGGTGGGATAACCAGGAAATTTTGACAGCTTGGAAAAAATGGATTTGTAAATCATGTTATTTATTCTGGTATTTTACTGAATTTCTTAATGGGGAAGGAACACAGGATGCCCAAAATCCTTGGAAAAAATATCTGAGAATGTATTGCCTGCATGTTACTCCTCTGTACCATTGCCTAAGAAATGACCTAAGGAGTCAACGTTATCCTTACGTTCTTCATTATGTACATTAATCTGCTAGAGTAAAAATTTGTGATTTTAGAATGACAAGCCAATAAAATGTGAATTAGACATGTATCTTTCATTTTTATCTTTTGACTTTGGGGAATTCCAGAAGCTTTTGAGGTGCTGTGTTCAAATAAAATGGCCAATCTGAATAAAGGAATTACTATTGCTGTAGATTGGTTTTATTTGCCCTGAATGAAGAACTAAACGATCAGTGTAGTGCCGTATAATTTGACACTACTTTGGGGAAACCTATGGGGATTGTGACAATTGCTTTTTTACACAGTGGGCATAGTATCCCTGGTCCAGTCCTGCCTGAAAAGAGCTGATTATGTATATTTTGGTGACTTCTGAAAAGGACAATTTTAATGTGCTCTGCAGGTGGCTGCCTTCATCGATAATTCAGACATTTTACCTGTTGCAGAATAGGACTGCACAAATAATGGCTGAAACCTGCTGATTATTCATGTGGTACGATATTGCTCCAGCTGCATATGTTCCAATGCATTTTCCAATCCAATTTAAAGTTAGGGTTTTAACTTTTAAAGCTTAAACTATTTGGGCTCAACTTAAAGATTAACTTGTCCATTTTCAACAAGAAAGTCCCTTTACTTGGCATATGTTGCTACCAGAGTCTCATTAGAATCAGCAATTTGATGATCTTCTATTGTGGATTTGTCAGGAATCTTTTTTACAATAACTGCTTTAATACTAATGTAGTTTGCTTTGTTGTGTGGCTAGAATCCGTTTGAGTATTATGTAAGACAATTATATACGACAATATTGGCCATAAGAAAATTTGAGAGCTGCCTTGGTTATCCTCCCCTCCCCGCAATAATCTGTGCATCTTGCACAGATCAGAAGTAATTTTGACTGTAATAGCTGTAATATATAAAATACATTTCATAAAGTGGAAACTCTAAAAGTATGCGCTTGCTGTTTCTTTGCAATAAGCTTTAGGAGAGTTCTATCACAAGCTTATACTACTTTATACCTGATAAAATTTAATATATCTGCAGTTTACATTCCATCCAATAATACAATCTGATACAAGATCTTGGTGTGTTCTAAGTTTGATTGTTTATTTGCTGATATTTCATTATCCAACAAGGTAATACCAATGCAATAGTGAAATTTGTTCACTATTTATATACAAAAACTTGCCCTACCAGTTTTGATGGTGGTGGGGTTTTCTCCTTGATAGTTCCTTGATTAGGGTATGAAACACCCCCACAGGCAACAAAACTAGCAGGGCAAGCTACTATACATAAACAGGGAGCAAACCCTACTCTCTACTGATGATGTTACCTAGTTGGGTAATGAAACATTGGCAAGCAAAAAACGAAACTCACCAAACACTGAAAATACTTGACACTGAGCTAAATATATGGTTTTCTATTATAATCTGGTAAAGTTAAATCCCCCCCCTTTTTTTTCTTTCCTTGTTTGATGAAATGATTGAAACTCAAAAAGACTTCAGCTAGCCCAGTAAAGGTGTTGGTACAATGACCAGCATTTCTAATTCTTTTGTAGTTAATCTGTTATTGTTTTACCACACATCTTTTACATATTCTGCTTTGAAATAGTACTACCTTAATGCTTCCTTTAAAAAGTTAATCAATATTTCTGTAATATCATTTTGCCTGGCTAGGAAAAATGAGCTGGATTTATCTTGCATTTTTCTTCTAGTTTGAAAATATCAGGAGAATGTGATATAATGGCACATGACTGAATAACTAGATGAAAGCAGGAGGGAAGGGCAGGTGCATGGCCTTATTTGTTCAGTCTGGCATTAATCTATCTAGCCTTGAACAAAAACATATTAGCATACTGTACTGAGTAATACTTAAGCACAAAAAGAATAAAGGTTTTCAGTTCTAGAAAACAAATAACATCTACCACTTTGCTCAAAAGTTAATATAGCCAGTTAGTTACAAGATGAAACCTTCACTCTAAAACTTATTAGATTGTGTGTTTTGTATTGATTAGGCTATCAAGTGCTAGCCCCCACTGCCTATTATGATCAGACGGGTGCCTTGGTGGTAGGTCCAGGGGCCAGAACTGGACTTGGAGCACCTGTCAGGTTGGTGGCTTCAGCACCTGTTATCATCAGTTCTGCAGCTGCACAAGCAGGTAAGTAGCTTTTTTGCAATTTTATGTTTAAAATGATCTAATAGTTCTTTTCCCGCTTTGCAGTCTTCTAGATACTGTTCAGAATATTTATTTGTTGCCACACTCACACATAGATGCAGGAACGTTCTCATCTCGGATATTTCTCTTGACATTTATTCTGTCATTTGTCCCAGGGGCATAAAAGATTTCAGTTACTGTTTCTCAGGTTAATTCAGAAGTACTCCCCATTTGTTTTATTTGTGGCATAGTGTTAAAAAAGTCTGGATGAAATAACAGTGAACAGAGTAATCAGCAATACTCAGTGTGCTATAGTTAAAATATATTCTTTCCATCCATTAAGAATAAGGTAGTTCTGAACTTGCAATCACAGTTAGGACCAGAATCTTAGTCACTGAGTAAAGTGGTTATTAAACAAGATGTTACACTCGATGACAGCAATTCAGGCAATCCTGTTTATGGCCATTAAGCAATTTTGCAGGCCATTAAGTGGACAGAATCCCAGATAAGGAGGATTGGGAGCCTGGGAGGTGTGATGCAGGCCTCACGTACCAGTAAGTGTTTTTGAGCTCAGAAGCTGCAAAGCAGAAAGAAAAAGCTACCTGCCTGGTTAGATTCCAAGTCTAAACAGCACAGAGCTAAAATTCTTCCATGGGCAGCTCTTTTAAGAATGCATGAGCTGCCTGCCAAAAGATAACAGCTCTCAGAGACGAAATCGCCACCACCAGCCCAAGAATCAAGAGGAAGTCCTCTTGGCAGGCAGCAGCATCATTCAACCTTCCTTATCAGTTTTTCCATTGACTTTCTGGGAAAGTCAGCAGAGAAGGTTGCAAATAGCAGTCGTGATTGCAGGGAACTTGACATGTCATTTGACCGTGATACTTTGCAATGGGCAGAAGTTCTTTACACTGTAAAATACCTTTTCCAAATCTATTGTTAATGCAAACTGTTAAGTAAAAGGTTTTAAGTCAAGGACTACCTGTACATTTGTTATAAAGGTTATCTGTGTAGCCATTTTACATTAAGAAATCTTGATTAGGATGGTGCTGTTGGGACATGGAGAAGTGGTTCATTGGCTGAAATTTTCCCTTTTTTTGACATTAAATAATTGGGCATTGTACAGATGTAAAGGTACATACCAAATTAATAGTAAAATATGAATTTAAGATGCATTAAAAGTGCTGCAATTTGTGTTCATTGTTGGAGATGCAGTTCAGTAGTTGAAGCTTATTTGTTGTGTATTAATATTGCTTGCTTATTTATTTATTTATTTATTTATTTATTTGCGCATGTCCTGCTTTTGTCATATTGGTATAAAATTCATACAAAAGTTTACTTTTCAAAGAACCATATTCTTCTATCCCCCGCTCCCCAAAATTGGAGTTAATCAAACTCAAGAATTGTGATGTTTTTATGAAGGGGAAAGATCTTGGGATGAATCTATATTTGATCTGCCCACAGAAATTCTTGACCCATTGCATTCAGTTAACACGTCTCTAACAAAGGGGAAAGAAAAGTTAACCTTCTGGCTCTCCTGTCATTTTCATTTAAACATTTTTATAGTCTATACTGACTGATAATTACAATTTTAATACAAACTACATGATTATGCCTTAGTATTTCTTAATGCTTATGTAGGAAAACAGCTGTCAACCATATAATCAGTATAACACTAAAAGATGAATTAAATATTTGTAAGTTTTTTTATATACAATATAGTATATTGCTACTATCACAGTAACTTTGTAGGGAATATTAAGTTTTTTTATTTTGAGCCCTGATTAAAACAGCCTTAATAAAAAACATGTTGTATTCTAAGCTGTTCAAAAGAAACAAAATATGGAATGCTTATAATGTTCCATTATAGGAAATAATGGAGTAAGAAATTTATTCTGCATTCCCCTGATTTTCTTCCAAGAGCCACAAACAAAAATAAAATGATAGTTGACTGATACCTATCATCTAGCTTATAGAAAAAAAATGACGAAATGATTTTTAAAGTAAAATCAAAAGCAGTGATAGAAGCTGAGCATACACACAGTATTAATTGAACAGCAATAGCAGCAAAAATATTTTTCTCTGGCTATTGACTTGAGACCTCTATTTCAAGCATTTGGTACCTGCCAGTGTCGCTCAAGAAACAAACAATGTACCGTGTTTCTCATATAATAAGGCTGGGTCTTTTTTTTTTTTTTTATGAATCCCTAAAAAATGGCTAGGCCGTCTTTTTTGGGGTGACTTAATTCCCCCCCTTGCATCTTTGGGCAGGCGGCGACGGCTTGGATGTTGACCTCGGCGTTGGTGAGGCACTTAGTATCAGGGTCAACGCAGGCAGCACCATATCTGGGTGTGCAACAAAAGTACTTCCTAATGGCAAGCCCCCCCTCACCATTCCCCCCCATTTTGCATGTTTTAATATAGGCCTTAATTTGGGGGGAGGGGCTTAATTTCATTTCATGCCTATAAAACATGCTGGGACTTCCTATTGGGGGAGGCCATATTGTTGGAGAAACAGGGTAGTATTTATATTTAGCTTACAGCATGAACTTTCACTTCATTAAGTGCATATAGTCACACATATTAAAGCTCACAAACAAACCAAAGGGCCATTGAATTTGCATTTTAAAAATTTAGAATTGGAAAATCTCAACATTATTAGCAATATTTAGCAGAACCCAGCACAGATCTTTGCATTCGTCCATCAGAGGATGTGAGACTTTAGGGACATTCAACAGCCCCAGTTATTTAAGACAGTGTTCTCGGAATACTGATGTACCCCTAATATTTTTTCTTAGGCATTGTAACTTTTTGTATTGAAAATTTGCTATCATGGGAGATTTTAAGTGCCCTATTTCTAAAACTTGAAATGTTCTACATTCCCACTGATTATTGAAACCCGTGGTGTCTTTCAGCTGCCGCAGCTTCAGCTGGAGGAACAGCAAACAATATCACAGGAACCACAAACGGGCTTTTTCGGCCCCTTGGTCCTCAGCCTCAACAGCAGCAACAGCAGACAAACAACAATCTACAGTCTAACTCATTTTATGGCAACAATACTTTAACCAATAATTCTCAGAGCAGTTCACTCTTTTCACATGGTCCTGGTCAACCAGGAAACACATCTCTTGGCTTTGGAAGCAGCAGCTCCTTGGGAGCTGCCATTGGGTCTGCACTTGGTGGATTTGGCTCAACCGGTAAGTTATTACTTTGAAAAAAAGAAAAGAGGGGAAGAGGTTACATGGGTTGATGTGAATCAAATAATTTTTCTTTAAATTATTTGGATGCATTGAATTTCTATCTCTTGATCTGAAAGAAAATCAGTTGGACCAAGCAGATCTCGCATATGAGGAACAACTTACATTAGTGACTATGAAAGATAACTCGCATTTTAAGGGTTTTTTTTAAATAGCCCATTTTTGTGCTCATATGATTTTATATTCAAGATTGTTGCATAAGTGTTAAAAGGGTTACTTTTGTCACAGAGGTGGGCAAGAAATATCCTTTTGCTTTCCTTCCCCCTCTCTCCAGCTTGGTCAATTATCAGGAGGACTGTTGCTGGAAGTGAACAATAGTTTCCTTTCTCAGTGTTGCATGGATGCTCTCAAGAACACCTGGAGGACTATGTTGAGCATTCTTCACTGTTTAAGCCAGGCATCTTACAGTATGAGAGAGTAGAAGCAAATATCTTCCATTTCCTGCTTGAAGACATTTTGCTTCTATATGGAGGCAAGAGATGTTCTTTTGCAGTTGTCTTGGAAATTCATGTAGCATTTGTCTTTCAAACACCTTGCAGTAGGTAAACTTTGTTTTAATTGTTTCAGTCCACAGATGCCAAATCTTGTCATTTTCTATAATTTCTATTGTATAATGTTTACTACTTTATTCACAGTGTGATGGTACATGGCCCCCCTTTTAGAATTCATAAAGTTCTTAGATTGTGCAAATTGTTTTCTCACCGGCGAACACGTCAACATATATTGATGCAGATAATGTATGACTTGTTTATTTTGCATAGGCTAAGGCATGAAGAAGCACACACAATTTTGTGCACTGTATATAAGTGAGCTTGCACACCTTGATCTTGGAAAATGTCCCATGTGAAACAATTTTTTTTAAAAAATAGAGGACTTATTGAAGCTGTTCATATTGATTGTTATAAGCAATTCCTCATCACTTTTTTGTCTTGTAGAATTTGTATTTTGGTTGATGTCCATTGAAATTAATAAATAGAAAGAAAACACTATAAAAAGAAAGGATCTAATAAATGCATAGTCATTCATTACATGTTTTTAATTGAAAATTATTAACGGCAAAATCAAGGAGTAAGTTTCTGTGATTTTTTTTTACCCAAGGAGAATATCCTTAAAATATTTTTAAAAATTGTAGGCTTTCAGTCTTATTTATAATTTTTCTGCATTTTTATGAATAATTAATTCTCTGTATGAGTATTCCACTCAAACAAATCCTGGCTTTTATATAAATAAGTTTATTCAAATCCATAATTAGTTTTTTTTAAAAAAAAAACTGTATAAGACATAGTCTTTTTGTACCAATCACTCATTTTTCCCTTCATTGCATTTAGAATACAATTATTCTCAACTAGTCTTAAAAGTGTAAATTTCTGAAATACATTTTTAAAAGAATACCTTTGCTTGCTACTCTTATAACATTATCTCAAGGAGACAAGATTAAGTGATTTGTCAAGAGTCATCTAGTGAGCTTGACAGTTGAATCAGGATTTTAAAATATCGATCCATATTTCATTTTAATTTTGAAAGAATTCATCCCCCCCATATTTTACTGCTCAGTAAATTAATTGCTCACTGTGCTATCTTAATCTTTAGAAATCACTGAGGTTTCTTTTTTCTGCATTAGACTGAAATTAAGAAATTCTAAATAAAATATACATTTGCTAAATAGGGATGCAAAATTGTTAATTATGGTTAAACAGCTCAAAGTTCATAAAAAGTGGTATTTCAAGATTTATATTAGTTAAATTACTCAGATGAAACATTCTGTGAGATCAGTTTAGAAGTATAACAAATATTAATGTAAACTCCTAAACCATACTTTTATGAACACATCCAATTTTGTTATTTATATTTGTTCACCCATCCCTATATTCTCTGTCTGTGATCCAAATCATTTTAAGACTTGCTTTCAAAGTATCTTAGATTTTTTTTTATTAAATTCCTTTATTTGTTGTTAACCAAGAATGTATAGTGTGGCCACTATATCTTATTTCTGAAGAGTGCAGAATCTAAGGCTAATTTTAGTAACAGCTGTAAAACAGGATGAAGGAGTTTATTATTTAGGCTATCTTTATACAAAAAGCTCTGTTGCATGCCTAGAATATGATTGAGTAGTTTCCCCCTCTTAGACTAGTATTTAAACTGAAAAAAAATTGAAGACATTTGCAGAAATTATTTGCACTTACGATTCAATTTCATTGGTTTGTATTAACACATTAAGACATGCCTAACTTGGTCCCAAAGCCTGACTCCAGAATGCCAAATACTATGACAATGTAACTAAGTCTTGAGTGAATCAAGATTTGGAGATTGCTCAAAAAATTTTCATATCTAAGGAATGCTTGTACTCATTTGTGATTTATTAAATCATGTGTGGTTATCACAGTAATTGTCTCTAGCATAACTTGATTGTTATAACGAATATGATCATATCATGTATTGCCCAGCTGTAGGTTGGGGCTAGGTTTTCTTTGGTTGACACTGTATGTAATAGGGTCTTTTTATTTCTTCTTCAGTTGGCAGTTCTGCAAGTAGTAGTGCCACAAGGAGAGAGTCTCTATCTACAAGTTCTGACTTGTACAAAAGATCTAGTAGCAGCCTAGCACCCATAGGGCAGCCATTTTACAATAGTCTGGGATTTTCCTCCTCTCCAAGCCCAATAGGCATGCCTCTGCCAAGCCAAACTCCAGGACATTCACTTACGCCACCGCCATCACTTTCATCACATGGATCCTCATCCAGTTTGCATTTAGGTAAAAAAAACAAAGCCCTTTTTTGTTTGTATATGTTTGTGTGTATATGTATTTTTATATGTATATCAATATTTTATGTTGGGTAAAGATGTCAATCTGCCTTTTTGGTAAAACACTGTATAGGGTGTCTAGTCCCAATATGTTGCTAATTGATTGGTCATTGAGAGTGATCAGGTTTGGGAGCAAAGTATTGGCCCATGCCACCCTACAGGTTTTCCACATAAAAATGAAATCCTGATACTTAAGTAAAATAAGAATGGGTTGTGGTGGTGGTGTTGTATGACAGGCAAAGATATATATATATATATATATATTCCGTGTAACTGTAAATCATGCATCTTTTTTAACGGAGTCAGCTTTAGGCTAATGTTTGGTACTTGGTAATGGTACAAGTCTTGCATCTCTGTTTTAAAAAAAGCTAGGCAAAGTATGCAGTACAGAAAATTGATTTTAAATCAGAGTAATGAATTCACAGTAAATTTTACAAATTCACTTTCAAAACAAAGAAAAGTAATAATGAAAGGCTTTAGGGAAATAGTGGCATTCAATCTGTAATGGTTCCTTTCCATACACCTGTAGTAATTTCATGCTTGAACCAGTAAGGATGTATATAGGCATGGTTTGTATCTAGATTGATGTTGTTGACTAATATATGATAAAATTACATTATTCTGTGGCAGGCTTTGCAGTATGTAGTCATATAATTCCCTATTATTTAATGTAAATTTTGAATAAATCACTTTATATGCTTTATTGTATAGGTATTTTACTAGCGAAAGGTCTCACCATAAATGAAATCTCAAACTTGAATACTAAAAATGTTTCAAAAATCACATATCATATAACTTTCTTAAACTAAATTTGCTCAATTATGGCACACTGACCAAATAAATACTCTAAAGTTCAAGTGCCATGCCTACAATGAGGAAAAAATGGACTAAATAATGTTCCAATAACAAAATAGAATAGGTAGAAGATGAAGTTCTTCTTATAAATGGTCATGCATAGAGACTTATTCCAATTATAATGAAAAGTGTTCTTGAAAGTATCTTTGCAAGTCTCCCAAGTTCTCTTGGAATCCTAAGGTAGATTGGATATTGTTGATCACAACAAAATCTCTATTTGAGAAACAAAATGAGGACCCTTTGTTCATGGCTGCGTAGATTTGGTTGATATAACATTTGACTGTGTTATATTTTACTTTTTCACCTATCCCTAATTTTTCTGTAATACCATTCTCATATTAGATAATGCATCATTTCTCACTGCAACTTCAACCTTATGCCCACTGGAAGGATGTTCCTAAAATATGGACTTCCAGAGAGCAAGAAGAAAGTGCAATATTCATCCTTCCTATGTCATTTATGCACATGGGTCTCTGAATTTTATCCAGAATTGGACATTAATGTGAAGTATATATACTAAGTGATCCTAAGATCATTTATTACTTCAAGATCTCATTAATGTACAAACAAAATTAATGTACGTTAAGCTTCAAAAGTAAATAACCGATTTCACTTGTCTGATATATAAATGATATACATTCTTCAACAAGTGCAAGAATATACTTTTTGTGAATTATCTATTACTTACTGGACGTGATTTATACTATACTGTATAATTTATTCTGCTTCCATCTGGTCATAGAGAAGAGCAAAAGATGAATGCACAAACATTTCAGCTTGCTTATTTCAGTGCTGGATTTGGAACATCCACTGGATTCTTTTGTTCCAGTAACAGCTTTAATTTTGTGTTCTCAGCCATATAGGCATAAACTTTCAAATTAATTTATAGCAAACAATTTTAAATAATTTAAAATGGCAATAGAACTGTTTACTCACTATATCTACTGTAGAATTTTGTGTTTGACCAAAGTTATAAAAAACACCTGTGGAGTAAACATCATTTAAGTGCAAAATGATTGATTCTGTGTAAACTTTGAAAAATAGCTGACTTTTAAAATAAGAAATAGATATTTCAAATGTTGGCTAGCCATCAACTGATGTTATTCTATGTTAATGTAGTTCTAAAATTTACTTTCTTGAGACAGTTTAGATAAAGCACACATTCTGAAAAATATTTTTAAGACTTCCCACAAGAACTGTATGTGGGTACCTGTTAATAACTTTGCAAAATGTGCCACATTATAATGTGATAGGTGATACATTGTAAACCAAAAATATTTTAAAGTTTTATTTAAACATTTTAAAACATTTCCCATGAGTATTAAAATACATAGCATATTTAAAATTAATACACATTTTTATTTATAGTTTGTGGAAAGCAAGCATTATTCAAATCCTTAAAAATTCAGAAGTAAGTTTTTATTGAAAACAAATTTGAATTAAATAATGTCTAAATTGTAAGATAGACCTATCATCTTTTCTCTTTCTTCAACAAAAGCATACTCCTTAGCAGAATTCTGCTTCGGATGCTCTTCTAATACAATAAAATCCCCTCCTCCCTCTTTCCATGCAAGATGTGATATTTTTCTGCAAAGCCTGCAGTCCTGCGGAATACATCTTTGCATGGACAGAGATTTGCAATAGGAAGGGAAACTGTTATAGCAGCTGCATGAATCATAGCCAAGAATGTTGTTTCTTTAACACTTTTAGAGATGCCTTGTTCATGCTTCGGAATGCTTTGTACCACCCCTAAAAATTAATATATCTTGGGTCAAAGACTTTGGGTCAGCCTCAGAGATTCTTTAGTAACAGTGAGGAGCTTCAATGGTGGATTTTTCTTGTGGGCATTGGAAGCCTGCCTTGATATTTGAGGGGACAGAATCATATGTTCCAAGGCTGATAGCATTGTTGCCATAATGAGATAAACTCTCAAGTTCCGAATAGGTTAAAGACAAAGATCATTATCTGTTAATTTTATTAATTATCGCCATACAAACAAGTAGAGAGAAATTTCCTGCCATGACTGCTCTTTCTTACAGAAAGAGATTTTTAACTGTGCATTTCTATCATTTTCATTATGCTAGAGAGAATAAGCTAATAGCAATAGCACTTAGACTTATAAAGTGTTCCATAGTGCTTAATAGCACTGTCTAAGTGGTTTACAGAGTCAGCATATTGCCTCCAATAATTTTACTTCACTTGAGGTAAATGAGGTCCTCATTTTACCGACCTCAGAAGGATGGAAGGCTGAGTCAATCTTGAGCTGGTCAGGATTGAACTCCAGGCTGTGGGCAGAGTTGGCTTGCAATACTGCATTCTACCCACTGCACCACCATGGCTCCCAAGGCTTTAACCTGATTAAAAGTATCTCAGAATAACATTAATTTCTTTCCTTGGTGTATTAATCTTTGTTCTACCTGTTTTAAATGAATTGTTATTGCAGCATTTTTGCTCACTCCCTGCTTCTTTGCCTTTCTTTCCTTGCTCCATTTCCACCTGGATCAATAAGCTGTTGCCACCTCTGCCTCCCATTATCATGGTCTTTCCATGTATTATTACTGAGTTTTAATTCTTCTCATAAGCTTATCTGTTTATTTGTGTAATTATGAAAATGATGATAAAATGGATTTATTCATGGCTTATTTTATAGAAAGACGTTAAGTCTGGATATTTTGTAAGAAAATAAAATAAAAGTAACTTGTATCTATTCCATACTTAATAAAAATTGCCAAATATTAATAGAAAAAATTGTTTCCAGGGACAATTTTCCGAATAAGTTTAGTAAGATATTTTTAATAACATTAATTATCACGTGCTAGATGCATATCTAGTCACATGGCATATGTTTTAGTAACCTTGCTTAATGCTGGTATTTTAAAATTGCATATATTTTATAAAAAATTACAAATATCTAGTTCATGACCTTTTGCTTAAAAACAAAGCAAATTGTGTGCAAGGTAGTCTTGATTTGTTTATTTTGCCTTGATTGTGTGCGCTGTTTACATCATTAAATCCGTAAGAATTTCGTTCCCATAAAAATCTATTACTGCAGATGCAGACTTTAGATAGTTATCTGAAATATCGGAAATGGTAAAAAATGCTTTATTCTATATACTAAATGAACTTTGCTGTCACCTTTGGGCTTTACATTGTGAATGTAATGCACTTGACAAGATTTCAACTAGTAATCTTCCTATGCTTGTATTAATAACCTTATGCACATAATATATTTCCTCTCTATTTAGGGTTATCTACAGAACAAGAAACTATTAGCTTTGTTAGTCAGTACTTTAAGAAAAGGAGCACAATCAATCTTTGGAATAATTTTAGATACAAAACTGTTGCTATATTCTTCCTTTTCAAATAACTAATGCAACGGCAGATTTTTTAAATTTATCAGATAAATATCACTGTCATGTTTCTAAAAAAACCAGAGCATTTTTGTAAAATATAAACAGACAAGTTTGGGTAGTTTGGATGGTTTAAATGAAGTCTAGTTGGGCAGATTCAGAAAAAACAGGTACATACTGGTAGAATTTTCTGATGGAATAGGTGCTTCTAAAGACATCTTCGTGGATTTGGAGTTCCCTCTGCCAACTGTGTGGGTTATGGTATAGAGGAAAAAGAAGGAACAACTTTAAGCAACTCTCTTGGTGCAAGTAAAAGGGTCTTTTACGAGGGAACTCTTCATATCCCAGTCTGTGAAACTAGAATTTTAGGTTGTAAGTTATTAAATGTTAATGTAACCTTTGGTTTACAGGCATTTAACTTTGTAAATACATTTAATCTTTAGTTTTGAATTTGTTTTCTGTAGCAGAATAGTTTAAGTAAGACAATAAATATAATACCTTTCATGATGAAATTGCATATCCAACACAAACCAATATTCCAAATTTTACAAAATACTTGAGTTATTTTAACTGCATTACTATAGGAATGGTCTCTAAACATTTAATATCATGATGTTTTGGCGCTACATTTAATTAGATAAAATTAACTACTACTACTCTTTTCCTGGGCTGCCTACACCTCTCTCCAAAAGAAAATTTTTGGGAGCTTGCCTGTATTGAATTTTCAGAAGTTTTCAATAGCTATGCCATTTCCCATGCTACTCAGGAAGGTCTTTCACTCCTCAAACTAACCTTTTTAAGGGACATTTTTAAGCAGGATGTAAAGTAGAAGTAGTAGAAGTCAACTTCTATTAATTTTATGTTACATACATGTTCCTCTTGGTTTGGCTATTTTTAAAAAAATCAATTAGAACAAAAGGTTAAACAAGCAGAAAATGTATTGAGCAACTGATCTCCCCTCCCCCCCAAATATTGAGTGATTTTTGTGAGCCTCCTCATGAATTTATAGTTAGACAATTAGACAACCAATTCACAATACACACAATATGTGTGTGTGTGTGTGTGTGTGTGTGTGTGTGTGTGAAGTTTTCGCAGGTACTTACATGTATGGCATTCAGCTTTGTTCGGGTGACGTGGGAAAATACCCGAACAAAGCTGAATGCCTGCCATACATACATACATTTGTAGATTTTCACGAGTACAGGTATGTAGGTCTAGATGTGCCAGTGGCACGAAGCTGAAAGCACCAGCCTGAGGATGGCAAGCGGGACCTCGCCAAAACGTCTCCAAGATACTCTTTATCTTACACGGGAAAAGACCCGAACACACCTATACATACATACATACATACATACATACATACATACATATAAATTAGTGGTAGTAGTAGTAGTATTACATAATTGATTCTTCTCCCTCACAAAATGTTCTTTTTAATAGTTACATCAAAATGCCCATTCCCCTGTATTACAGTTAGATAAGAAACTTTCTGTAATTCCACATCTGATCTGTTAATTCCCATGATTGCTGCCATGGTGGTTCAGTTGGAAGGTTTTGTCATAAGATTTTAAATATGCATTGAATTAGTATGTTTTGAATGCTGGCTATTACACATAGATGAAAACACCTTGTTTCCCAGTATTTCAAATTAAATAACAGTTATTTGATTGAAGACATGATTGAATATATGTAGCACAGGGTTGAACTGTGAAGTCCTTGGTGGTCTTTGAGCTTGATTGTTTGCCTACTGACATTTTATTGCCCAACTAGGTAATATCACCAGTGTGAATGAGTATGGGATGATAAAGGAACTATCCTCCCACCAAAACTGACAGAACATACTACTACATATAATAAGCAGGGAGCAATCCTCTCCCCACTTACTTGCACTGATAATGTGATCTAGTTGGGTAATAAAATCTCTGCAAGCAAGGATCCAAATTCAGATATCACCAAAGATTCCACAGTTGTACCTGTTACTATTTATTTATTGAAATGCTTTATTTTGGTGAGTTTTGATATTTTAACTACCTTTGCTCTTTTATATTTTATGTTAACTGCCTTGAGCATATTGGTAAAGAGAATAATTTTAATGGGTTGTTTAGGAAGTAACATGGAGGGATGCTTGAGTTATTTTAATCTAAATAATAATAAAGTAGGTAAAAGTAGGATTTAGTTTGAGCAGGTTTTGTAGTTATGATAAAAAGCATTTATACGTTTGTGTGTATATGTTTTAGAATATTCCAAATCTCTAACTTAATTAGCTGATTTGTTAATGCTAATTCCTTAGAAGGGAGTATTATTATCAGGAGAAGGGATTTAGTTATCTAATGTGTTCCACCATGTGAGAAAGTTTAAAAGGGGTAACTTATATTGTTAACTTAATATACATACAAAGATCAGTAATTAAAATTATATATTCTTTTATGGAAAAAACATTAATATCCAGAAGCTTGTTGCTGATTTTGTTATATATTGAAGTTGTATTTTTCAGAGTTGTTTCAGCTGTTTCTTTTTAGACTTCAACTTTTAAAATTATGATACTTGGAACAGGCAAAAGGAACGAAAGTCATTCTTAAGTAACATGGTTACTTGACTGGTTACTGGAAGTTAAGAAAATGTGAATAGAAACTAATTCTAGCTTTTCTTAGTTTGAGAATAGTTAAGTAGTGCATACTTAAAACGCCACACTAACCAAACTGCTTCATTGTAGGGGGATTGACCAATGGTAGTGGTCGCTATATTTCAGCAGCACCTGGAGCAGAAGCCAAGTATCGCAGTGCTGCAAATACCTCCAGTCTTTTCAGCTCAAGCAGCCAATTGTTTCCTCCCTCACGACTACGTTACAGTAGATCTGACATTATGCCCTCTGGGCGGAGTAGGTTATTGGAGGATTTCAGAAATAATCGCTTTCCTAACCTTCAACTAAGAGACCTTGTTGGGCATATAGTTGAATTTTCACGGGATCAGCATGGCTCTAGGTAAGCATATATAGCTCTCCTGAATAAATAGGGGAATATATGTTTCTTTTAGTAATGTCTTTGGGGAATATATTGAATGTTTCATATATTAATATTTAATATTCAGTATGTGATTAATAATTCTTATTAAACATCTGTTCACTCTTGGTGTACCCAGAGACCTAAAGTTGGGGATTCAGTTGGCATTTATTACAAGATGGGATGTACAATATGAGGTCAAAATTTTGTTTTCAAAGTGAATCAGAGCCCATTTAAATTAATTGTACCTCCCTGAAATTGGATTGATGGGATTGTAAATAATAAAAGCTGTACCTAACTTTACTCCAACACAATCTAAAAGTAACTTTTATTTTACTATTTCCCATATTTCATTCACAAAATAATTGAAATAGAATTTCAAATGTGTATATGGAATTCAGTTTCTCGTTGGCTTGATTGATTATAGTCATCAGTATTGTACATGAAAAGCTTTAAAATACTTGCTATATTTATTTATAGTGGCATATACATTTCTGACATTTACAGATTTATACAACAGAAATTAGAGAGAGCTACTCCGGCTGAGCGCCAAATGTTGTTTAGTGAAATTCTGCAAGCAGCATATCAGCTGATGACAGATGTGTTTGGAAACTATGTAATACAGAAATTCTTTGAGGTAAATATGTTAAGAATATTGTTTAAAATTTTAATCATATGAATGTATTTATAAATAGATTATTTGGGAAACTTAACAAACCTTAGGGATAGAGTTACTTTAACAAGCAATGAAAATAAAAGTTAAATATGCACATTTTGGTCTGTCTTGTATAAGTAGCTACAGGACAGAGCTCAGTAAATAAGCAGCCGCAATGGATTAACTGGTAACAAAACCCACAAACAATGCAAATTTAAAAAATATTTTTCTGGCTGCTGGCTTGAGGTTTTGTAATATACATGCATAATGTATGATTTTTGTGTTTGACATTTTGAAAGCTGAACAGGATAGTAACTATCTATAATCCATATGGACAACTTTATTGACTAAAAAGTAAATGCAACCTATAAAATACATAGAGGCAGCAGTATTATAATCCAGGAACTCTTAACTTCTCCATAGCACAAAACTGACAAATATGAAGTACATCTACATGTCAGGTAGGCAAAAATGTTTCTAAGCAGTTAGCTATCACATTTGATGCAGTGTCATATAGTCTCAGAATTAGCATACTCTAATATTCATTGGCTGGTCAGTGGGGCTTAACCATGTTTGTTAGGAGGAAAAAATGGTAGTGTATGACTGCTGGTTGTCAGAGGGTGAAAGACTATCTTCCAATGGCATGTTGGGAAGTTCAGTAGGAGACTGTTTTTCAGGGAAACCAGCTTCTCCATTAAGGCAATGTTTAAACTCAAGATACGGAATGTCACTTGCCATGGAGAACATAGTGTAGCAATGTGTAATAATCGATGAACCTGCCTAGATGCATGCCATGATGACTAAAACAGTGTTTTGCCATTTTACTTTTTCTGGCTTATGAAAAAACTACAATGCATTCCAGGGAGATTACAGTTAACTCTTATGCCCTTGTGCATAAGAAGGCAAGATTCCCTCCTCTTTCTTCATGCACAATTGGATACGTCCTTTTGCTTGCCAAGGGAAACACACTGTTGGATCTGGTCCCCTGATTGCTACTGATGCCAGAGTTGAAATATGCCTTCCTACTTGTGCTATGCCTCCTGGCAACAGCCTAATCTCCAGACCTCTGCATGGGCCATTTTTAGAACTTTACTGTTTATGATATTTTTCTTCACTTGAATACTCTATCACACAGTTACTTCAGAAAGTACTTTACATTAGTTCCCAGTCAGCCTTCTTCAGATTCCAACTGAAGTTCAAAGAAATAGATATGAACAGAATCTGTATTAATTTAGATGAGCCGATAGACAAGTGTGAAGATGAATTTTTATTATAGTTTGTTAAGAAAGCTTACCTCTGTCTAGTCCTGTTGTGTACCCTCCACCTCAGGAAGTCATTTAAACAAGGTAGGCAGACTTCGGTTGCATGTGCACAGAAAGCAGGAATCAGAATACTGATTTCACCGTTCCTCTTTTGTTACACAGCAATAGAACTACTTTGTAATTTCACTGTACCCCAAGTTTCCAAACAATAATACCAACTTCCACAGGATAACTTTGGAACTAGCCATATTAAGACCTGGACTTCCTGCCAAGTGCGAAAAGAAAAGTTATCCTTTCCATTGGTGACCCTGAACCCATGATTTACAGTAGCTCTCTGACAGCAACCATCATTCAGGTTATGGCCCACTTTATCTCATTTGCCAAGTGGCAACCATTGCCTTGGAGTAAGGCGGCATCTGCCTGTTCCTGATTCCTGCAGCACGAGAGATGCTACTCGATATAGACTTAATGCATTAATACTGTTTCTATGCTATATTCTGACAATATAACTGAATTCCTCCTAAATAAACAAGCAGGTCTGGAGTGTCGATTAGAGATGTAAAGATATGTAGATGGGATGTAAATTAGACGGAGGTGTTCCCTATCTTTCCCCTTCTGAACTGTCCCCTGTAGTACTTAGTAAGTAACGTTGAATAAGAAAAATCATTATTAACTATAAGGAATAGAGTTGGAAGGGAATGATAACCTCTGCAAATAACCATTTTTTACCAATTAATTTCTATGATTGTATCTGTGATTGCCAACTCAAGGTTGCCTCTATGAGTCAAACAATCACACATAGATCTTACTATTTAACATGTGCTCAACTGTTTCTCAGCCTTTTTTCTTCCTTCTTTCACCAGCTCCAGTCAATAGCAGCTGCAGTGGAACTTGTGTCTGCTGCTTGTTGACTAAAGCAGTCTATAGTTTTCCTTAGCTTAGATGTTTTTTAAAGTTAATCATTAATATTAGAACAGTTAAACTATTTTTTGTCCCAAACTTAAGGCAAAGTTCTAGACTCAAAAACACTCCATAGTTGTTCCAAACCTTTGTGCATCCCTTATTTGAAGCACTTACATTCTGAATCTCAATTTTTAGAGTAGCTCCTAGATTAACATTAAAAAATTAAATATCTTACACTGTACCTCTAAATCCAGGGGAGCTTAACTTGCAATCCAGGGAACCCTTGGAAGGTTTTCCTCCAGATTCTGAATGGTGTAGATCAGGGGTGTCCAACCTTTCACCTTCCCTGGGCCACATTAGAAGATGAAAATTTGGTTTGGGCCGCACATAAAATAACAGTAACGATACCCAATCATCCCAAAAAACCATAGAAAACATAGTTAACATATTAAATTTATTTGGAAATAAAGTTAGTGAAATGTTTTTATTATTTATTATTAATTACTTATTTAAAATTATTTATTTTTTATCACGTTTTTTTTATCACAGTTTTTTTATCACAGTTTATTTTCCGGCCAAATTTTGCGGGGGGGGGGGGGAAGCC